TTTTTTTTTTGAGTTTTATGGTTTGAGAAGGGGGTAGGAGAGCAAGGCGAGGAATCGCCTTTACAGAAATAAGGGTTTTTAAGGGGGTTAAAAAGAGGGAATGAAAGAAAAAATGAGGAAGTAAAATGGCTGGGAATGCAAGCGCATTCCAAAACAGGACCAAAATGGGACAAAGGAGACGAATGTATAATAAGGTTTTTACGGGTGTAAAAAAAAGGAAAGAGGGAAATGCCAAAAATTGTAAACACGCAGGAATGCAAACTGCATTCTGAATCATAGGGTAAAAGGGGGGAAGGAAGAAAAAAAAATATATAATTTTACAACAAGAAGAGCATATCACGCTAGCTTTCCTCGCCTCCAAGTTACCAGTTTCCCTCACATATAGAAGCCGAAAAAAATTTGCAGATTTCTCGGCAGGAAAACGGTTTCGAAGGCCAGTCAAGCTAGTAAACTGAAATTTCATACTGATTTTCCCTGCCCAGTGCATGAGCTAAAGATTTCAAATTTGGCTATCTCGCACGCGTCAAAATTTTCTAGTGCTCGTGTAGCGGCTCTAAGGAGCTGACCTTGAGTTTTATGATCGTACATGAATAGGGGACATTCCTCTAATGTTTTAGCTTTCCCGCCTTTTTCGTCCCCGAGTTAGTAGTTTTGCTGCCAAAACTTTCACGTGCTTCCACGCAGGAATTAGACGTGCGTGGTAACTGATGTCACGTTTCTGGAGTCGCACTTGGCCAGGGTACAAACTGGCAAAATTTCAGCGTCAAAGCTTACGTGGTTGCCAAGTAGAAATATCTGGACAGACGAACATACACACACAAACACAAATGCACAAACAGGCACGGTCGTCACAGTATGCCTTTTTGTTGCCTGTTGCAACACTCCGGCTCTGCACGGCAAAAACGCATAAAAAGTAACGAGAATAACAACGCGGTCATAAATCAACGAAGTGCATAGCGCATGCAAAAGGGCACCACATGGTGCTCCGACAATGATTTTGATGGTTGCCTTTTTTCATGATACCCTAATTTCTCGACACTTCTGAAAAAACTCTGAGAATACCCTGTACTGCTTATCAATTATCTGTATTGCGTGCCAGCATACTGATGTTTTAACGTAGTTATTGGTTTAAGCATTCATCAGGAAAGTGTTCATTTGTACAAATATCGTAGTTTTCGAAACTTTTC